TAGGGGGGGGGGGGGGGGGGGGGGGGGGGGGCGTACTCTTACGTTTTGCATGCCTTAGCGATTAGACCATTCACCACGCGTCCTCGAGAGGACGGAGCATTGTTCCCACAGGACCGATCACCGATGGCCAATCGTTCCTTCCTCCTTTGCCAAAGGTGGCTCAAAAATGTCTTCCCTAGTCTTTCTATCCTAGCGATATCACGTCCCGCCACTTCCTATGCCCCAGTGCAGCTACCGTCTTCTCCTGGATATTCCATTCCTCAAACATCTCCCTGTAAATTACCTTCCTTCTAAATACGAAGCCGCAATCACATTCGAACTTGTCGTCTTCATCGTCTCCCTTCCTAAATCTTGGTCTACGTTCTCGAAGGCCAGTATCCCCGGTTTTAACTTTGACCTTCAGCTTTGTCCCTGCACCCATTGGTCCACGTAGGTACTCCTTGAAACCTATTCCTTCTTTCAACATTGCGTATACTTCTGGACCCTCCTTATCCTTGGTTTCTTTGGTTAGATTCTGTTCTCCTCTCTCCGCAAAAGCAACAGATATCTTCTCCTTGAACCCCTCCAGACCCTCCGTTTCCAGCGCTTCACCTTCGTCGATTTCGAACCCCTTCCATACGTCATCTACAATCTTGACCCACTCGTATTCATGTGTTGCATGCCATCGTTGTTAAACTATTGGCCACGCGTCCTCGAGAGGGCGGGGGGGGGGGGACGAAATGGCTGCCATGTTGTTGCTGCTGCTGTCAAAGTTTCGGGAAACAGCATACATCCATACCCGAGTAGCCAAGTTCTTGTCGAAATAAATAAACAACATGCTCCAGGTTGCACCGGCCAGTGCTCCGTGCTACAGTATGTATGCATACGCTGCTGCACACTGGGGGCCCTCTAGTCTATAGTGCCGGGGGGGTGTCCCGAGATTTGACCGGCACTATACCGGGCACCGACACTATAGAGGGACCCCCACCCCAGTGTCCGCTACACGGGAGGGCTATGTAACCCTGACAAGTAAGCCGACCCAACCCCGCCACCCCCGCCGCTTGCCTTTGGGTTGACCTTGGGGAACTCAACGTTCTTCCCGTACAAGGTCGACGAGCTGACCAGGGACCCTTCCTTGGAGGACACGTCCAGGCGGTACCGTTGCAACTTGTTCTTCGGAAACTTTTTCCAGTCTGCGGTGCCCCTCACGAGTGGGTTTCAGCAAGAGGCGGCAGGGGGGGGGGGGGGCAGCACCAGTATACAGGGACCACTATACAGGGACCAGCACTAATATACAGGGACGGACCGCCCTCGCGATAAATAAAGCGTATGAGGCAATAGGACAGGGAGGGGGTCCCCAGACCCTACCTCTAATCCTAACCCAACTTCCCCGATTGCATGCTCCATCCAACATTTCAATCGAAAACCCTGCCAAAGGCTACTTACTTACAGGGACCAGCACGGATGGTACATATACTTAATAATAGTTGTTGCGTACCTATGTTGTCCCACACGGGAACATCCGCCTCCTCTTCCTGGTCCAGGTACAGGAAGTCCGCTTCAACCACGTCCACGACTAGCTCCCCGTTCTTGGGGTCTTCGAAGGCGTTCGCGAAGTGGAAGCAGAATTTCGCGGGCACGTTGATGATCTGACGAAAAAAATACCACAAAGAGGGGGGGGGGGAATGGGTGTTGAGGAGCGTGGTATATTGGTAGCGTCAACCGCACTACCCCCGGCTGACCAATGAAAAGATGCCAGTCTTGTACTGTAGCGGGATGAAAAACACCAACACTTTCGAATCAAAGGGTACGTGAGGGTTTTACTGACAGGGAGTGTGTGTGTGTATATGTGTTTTTTTCTTAACTAGATAGCATCGACCGTGCGACCAATGAAAAGACGTCAGTCTTGTAGCGGTGCGTGTGCGTTTCGGTGCAATTGGCATCGAACGCGCGTAACTGGCCGACCAATCAAAAGACAGACCAGCACCAGCCTCATGGCGGCCTCGAAAAAACGCCGACGCGAGATCTCGTGCGTTTGTGTGTGCAAGATCAAAATCAATATCATGCATGGGCCGTATGTAGTTCTCGGAATAAAACACTCTCTCTCTCTCTCTCTCTCTCTCTCTCTCTCTCTCTCTCTCTCTCTCTCTCTCTCTCTCTCTCGCATCCCCTTAAACGGTGGACACAGGCAGAAGGACGCGCAGGGATGAATAATGAGTAATGCGAGCGGCACGAATCACCACCGTCCACAACTACCCTCGTCCTTTTCGCCAGCGGCAACAGCGGGGGAATACGAGATTGGCTTGAGCGGGGGGTACACAGGTTCGCCCGAGCACAGGCCGCAGCAACAACAATTGCGGCAGACGGACCACAAAGAGTAGCCGAGCTCGTCAACCAATCAGAGATGGGATTCTAAAGCCAACGGTCTGTGCTGAAACGCCACCGTTTCTACTGCTGTGCAGACACACATCATGTAACAACCACAATAGCTCGGACACCCTCCACGTTCGGGTGTACCCTGGTAAAAAAAGAATGGCTGTGTTGGTACACGGAACACATATCATGACCCGTACCCGCGAACCGTCGCTATGAGAAAGTTGTGGACAGGCGACAGTATGTTGCCAGCAGGCGTGCGTCACACAAACAGAACGAGGAGTTCGGCCTATCGTGTTGTGTTGCGCAAGTGTTACTGAGTAAGTGTCGAAAAGATGACGAGGGTCAAACACTCAAACACCCAAAATGTGGTGTATATTATATGCACACACGCGCGTAAAAAAAAAAGTGAAAAACAAAACAGGATGAAAAAAAAAAGGTTGAAGACTGCTCCTCACATGACCACGACACGATCTCGATCACATCATATCAAACACTTCTGCAGCTTCTGGCATCAGGCATCAGGCATCAGGCATACCTTGACCTCTTTGGAGGGATCCCGAGGCACAATGACCATCCTAGCCGGCTTGCTGTCCCCCTGCCACTTGAGCGCTGACGACAATGTCCCAAGGCCGAGCACCCACTTGAGAGGTTCCAGCGCCACAGGGGCCTTATCGTAACAAGGCAAAAGTAGGGGGCACAGGAGAGAGAAAGAGGGGGGGGGGTACTCATAGTTGTGCATCCCGTAGTCGTTAGAACAATGACCACGCGTCGGAGGGAGGAGAAAAACAGAGAGGACGGTGGGGTGCTTACCTAATGTTTGAAGAGAAAGCTGCCCACCGCCCACGGGAAACTTCCAGCGAACACAGCCTAATCAACAACATTGGACACTTCAGACGTGACCCATCATACCACGAGACGCCATCGTACACGACGACCGTCGACAACCAGCACCGCCAAGCGCGCGCGACCGCAAACACGATGCCGTGCACCGGTGTACCCTTCTCTTCGTGTATACAGCAGGTGTCGCTATGTCTTGCTGACACTTTCTTGCTGATGGAACAAGACGGGACGATTCGAACTCACGCTGAAGAATATGGTGTAGTTGTCCGTGACCCCAAAGTCGTGAAGCAGTCCGTTTGCCTCCTTGACCAGACGGGACTGCAAGAGCTTGAAGTTCTTGTCGTACTCGTACAACCTCGTCTGCGGTTCGCGTTTTCGCGGTCACCACAGCAGCAGCAGCAGCAGCAGCAGCAGCAGCAGCAGCATCATCAACGGCACTATTTAGCAGTGGCATAAGCATTATCATCAGCACCCGCAGTAGCATCAACAGCACTAGCAGTAGCATAAGCAATATCATCAGAGCGGTAGCAAGAACAGCAGCCGCAGAAACAGCATCAACAGCAGGATGCACCAGCAGCACGCACAAGCATGCCGAGCAGACAGTAACACTCTTTTTCTCGCACCACATCACACTTTAAATTTTCGTCTCTTTGGTGCTCGCATAGTCTGAGGCGGTAATTCCGTTCTTCTCTTTTACCTCTTGCTGCTGTGTCTCTTCACCTTTTGCTCGTCAAGGGGAAGCCAAGGCCCTCTCATGCCGCTGCCCGTTCGTACGGCTTCACAAAAAAAAAACATATTAATAGTATGTACCACACAATTGCGAAAAACAGACTACATAAAAAGCGTACTCTTTCGTGGTATGTACCACACGTTTGCGGGGAAACAAACAATAAATGTGTGTAAGCGCTTATGAAAAAAAAATTACCTCCTTGAGGTTCTTCGTGCCGTAGCCCACCAATCGCTCCCGCTTAGCGTCGACCCTTGGGTGAGCAGAAAAGATCTTGCGGTTTTCATCGATCGTCTCCCCGAGCATGGTCTCTCCAAACGTGTCCAGGCTCTTCGGATCCAATCGGTGAGGCAGGCTTGGGGATGACAATCACATGCCGCGAGAAAAAAAACGAAACCAGTATTTTATTTCTTAATTCAGCTCGAACAAATTTGTATATCCATCCGTAGATCGATATTTTAATAAACAATTGTGTAAAATTGCCCGCAAAATATATCGCATTCTGAGCTCATCTTAGGCCGAATTGTTTCGCACGCAGAGAGTGAACATAGATACAATGTAACTTTGCCGGACAACATAACTGTTGTTGTTGACGGTAAACTAAACGTGCAGCTTTGATCCATGCGGGTTGTAGACCTGTCCAGCCGACAGACACCCCCTTGCCGTTCTCCCTCCACGCCGGCAAAAAAAAAGAAGACTGTTCTCGAAAAAAAAAAAAAAGCGCGATTGCCTCGCTCAAACAATAATCCCACCAGAGGACGCAAACCGACGTACTGCTGTACTGTACACTAGATGGCTGCGGGCAAACGCCACCCTCATTCTTGATGCACGTTTGCATCTAATTTATCTCCAAGAGCTCCCGAGAAAACAAAAGCAACCATCTACATAGCCGAAAAAGCTCCCCAGAAAACAACAAATAGTCAACGCAATTGTGTATCACTGAGCAAACATACTGGACAAAGTGTAGAATCGGCTAAGGTGGGGGTAAGGGTTAGGGCTAGGGTCTGCGTGCCCCCTGCCTGGTCTCTCTTCGTAGTAAGCTTGCTTTGCTTTCTTTGCATAGGCGGCCCGAACACAAAACGAACACAACCATCTACCTCCAAAAGCTTCCGAAAAAACACGCAGACGCTCCCGAGGCTCAACAAACTCACCCTCCCTCCCACAGGGCCAGCAGCATGCCCCCCCAGTAAATCACGTTCGTGTTCGCCAAGTTTTTCGTCGTCATCTTGAAGGCGTTTTTCTGCATCGCAAAACAAACGACGTGATTGATTTTAAGTGTTCAAGAAACGTTGCACGTAAGGACGGAAAGGGGTCAACCAGTACACGAGCAAGAGGGAGCGAAAAAACGACGGAATGTAGAGGAAACTGGTACGGTAGCTCTCGATAACATGCACAACTTTTGCCTTCATGCGGTCGGGGGGCATACGTCGAGGTGCAGCTGAAGGGTAAGGTTTCTTGCTATTCAACCACCGGCAAGATACTCCCCTCGGATCCGGATCTGTCCTACTTTTGTATGTGCAGTAAGGGTTGTAACACTCCTACACCTACCCTCCACAGGAAGGCGCTATGAAATCCTTTCTTCTCAGGCAGCCGGTACCAATCCTTTCCTTATTTGTGTCTTTCGAAAAAGGTCTGAAACCGCCAATTGTCCGCCCGACACAAGCTTCGTTTTCTTGGAGCTGTGTCTTGGCCTGCACATGTCACGAGTTGACACGTTGACACGCACGAATACTTCAGTGTACCTCCGGATATCGTGTACATACCTCACCACGCGTGCATCGTGCGATCTGTGGAGTGCAAGCGGTTGGTTCCAAGAGATTTTCGAGAATGATGGTTTCGATTCGACCAAAGGTTGACCTTGGCGTACAATCGTTGGAATAAACAACCCGGTCGGGCACCAATAGAGCCTGGCAGGCAGTACAAGTACTGCCAGGAAAGAATATCAAACAGGTTGTACATACAAAGCGCGAAGGAAACGAAAGAAGTTTCCAGCCGGTTATTTTTCCGTGCACCGCGACGACTTCAACAATCCCCTCATCCCCTTCGACTACTGTATCTCGATAGGGGTAGTTTGTCTCCGTTTGAACGCATGCACGCATGTTATCTAAAAATATGTCGTCCCCGCGACACTAGCCAGAAAGAAACTGCCAGGACACGCTCTCTTTGGGGGCACCACCTACGCATTTGTAGTTCCTGGCAATCTATCTGGACGTTGGTCAAAGACCGAGGTTACCAACGCGTCTACAGCAGTTAGGACCCGCACTTTTTTTTTTTGCTTTTTTTTTTGCTTCACTTCAAATCAGCGCTCACAGCACTAGTGCCGTTTACTCCAACCCGTGGTCACACAGAAGAGCCCCTCTCTACCCTCCCCTCCTGCGGTACTTTGCCTTCGATTTTTATTGCGAGAAGAGTTCAGCACTCTCTTCCCTCTGTGTACACACGACTTAGCGCTATCCACTTTATAGGCCAGGAGTGGAAGCGAGAGAAAAACTCACTTTGCAAGAAAAGCTCGCTTACGCCGGGATTCGAACCCCTGACCTGACCTCTAGAAGGTTTCGAGGATACCAACTAGACCACCGGGGCGACCGGAATCTTAAGAACCTCTTATTATTGTGGCCGAGGCTCATTTCTTGTGTTGGCTATGCAGGATCCCCACGGCAACGACGTACTGTCTTAGTGTATCGTTGACCACCTGTTGTTATGATCAAGTGTATTTCATGTTGGAAAATTTGAAGCTCAAGCTCGCAACTACCACGTGTGTAGTGCGGGCCGGTTCTGTATGTCGATTTACTTGGAAAGAGAAAGAAGCGTACAAGAAGCGGATCTACTATGCTCACCAGCGCCCCCCCCGCAAGATTGGAAAAGCCTCTGTACAACATCTTTCCGGCTGCCAGCTCTTTTTTGTACCCCTTCGTCTTCACCTGTAAGAAAAAAAAAAAAACGCGGCCGAAACGACAACTGTATAAAAAAACAAAATATTTAGATACAGATGGATATATTGTGACAATACAAAAAAAAAATGTTTATTCCTGAATCAACATCTGCACATACATTTTTTGTGAAAGCATGGACTTAGTGAGAGCACGAGATAGCAGTGGTGCGTGGAAAGAGGGCGGGAAAAAACGAGCAAGGAGAAAATAGGCTCAGAGGCAAGATGGCGCGACATCAACACGCGAACGGATCGACGAGGGCATCGAAACAAGACCAATTTCCAAGGAAAAAAATCTTGACACAACACCCCCCCGCGCCGAGCCGGCGCTGGCATCAAGCGCTCTTTTGTGTGTCTTCTCTCTTCCGATTTCGGTCTCCCTCCCTCCATCCGTTTCAATCGACTTCCTGTCTCTCTGCCATCCACCTACTATGCTCTGCCTGTGTGAGTTTTGCTACTCCCGCCCTGCTCCCCCCCCGCCCCCCCTGTCTCCCTTGCTTACATCCCTCGGTATTTCGGCGCGGCAACGCGGTCAAAGCGCTATCGTACGGATACTTTTTTCGCTCCCATCTGCTGACCAACACACAAGATATATTCCTCGTTATCTTCGTGCCGGTTCTTCTGCTCAATATCAACCATCCCAGACACAACCAACCCCGGCATCAACTCTCAAGAAAAAGATGTCGCCCCTCGCGCCGTTCTCTGTCTTGGTACCAACCATCTCCGAGACCACAACCCCGACATCACCATCTCTCAAGAAAAAGATAAGCCAAACGCGCCCCTCGTGCCACTCACGTATCTGTTCCGGAAGTACGCCCCCTCCTTCGAAAAGCTGATCGCCATCACCATACCGTCTCCGTCGAAGGGGTGCTTCACCACATCCTCGCCCACCTGCGCAGTAGAAAAAAAAAACCGATACGCCCCGGTGTTTTATAGATATGCCATGTGGGTTGACTGGGCATCCCGGCTGGCCAACCCTTAACCTTTCACATTCGGCGGGCACGATGATACTTCAAGTACCGCAACAGGGACTCCGATCATTGCGCGCATGTACTAAACAGGCGCACAGGTCGTCGGAGGGGGTAGAAACCTTTGCTGCTTCAGCTAGTGGAGAAAGACCACAGATAACCAAAATCGGTGATGACGTGCAAAGAGTGGAGATTTCAAGCGACGGTTTTAGGCTCGGCTGGAGGACACCCATACTTGTTGTTGTCGTATTCTCAAGAAAATAAGATCGCCTGCGCATTAGATGTGGGGTCGAGAAAACAGTTTGTCACAATGAGGCTCTGTACAAAATGGCCAAAAGAGTACTTCAACCTTCTGGGCACGCAACGAAGAGAAGTTTGCCTCCTTTCCTTTCTCCTCCCCCAGCCAAAGCCGTGGTGAATGGTCTAACCGCTAAGACATGCAAAACATAGGAGTACGCCCCCCCCCCCCAATGCCGTGGTATCTACGATCAGCAAATCCTGATGACGATCTACGACTTCCTCAAGGCTGCACGCTCCCAAGAGACTTGCTTGCTGCAAATCGCTCGAGCCATGTGTCAGCCCTGCCGCTTCTTTGGGGGGCATTCTCTTTTTGGGGGAAATGCGTGCACCTTGTTCGTTTCTCCAGCAAGAAGCTCAGGTACACTTTCTCGTCGTTCACGCCCACCACCACCGCAATCAAAGGTTTCGAGCAACTTTTGCCTCGCCCGCAGGGTATACATACAAGTACTTTTGACTGAAACAAACACACTGCTGATGATCTCGACTGGCAAGAGTGAAAGTTGTACCTTGAATTTTGCGGGGCCGTTCCTGAAAAACGTCCCCTCGATGTCCTTGGGGATGGAGCCCTCGCTCGGCTCCATGAGATACTGGTCTTCCGTATCCGCGGTTGCATACCCCTGCCAACGACGACGAAAACAACATTGACAAGAACAAGCGCTCGGCATGAGCACACACTTGGGGGGACCCGCCCACAGAGAGGACAATATTTTCGTGTGTTGTTCGCCGTGGACGAACGAACGGAAGGAGGCGTTTTTCAGTATCACACCTAGAGAGAGCCAGCGAGAGGGAGGGAGGGAGGGAGGGAGGGAGGGAGGGAGAGGGGGGGGCGGGGGGGGGGGGGGGGGGAGAAAAGAAAGAAACCCAAACCCTCTTTTTTGGGGAACTAAAAGGGTGAAAACCCTCTTTAAATACTTTTTGGAACCACCCTCTTTCGGGAAAACTGCGGGGATGGAAGAACCACTTTTCATGGGCAAGCGATCTTGGTTTTTTGAAAACCCGATAACAACAAAAAAAGAGTGGGGTCCCACCCAAACCCAAAGGTCGCCAAAAAATTTCCTTTTCCGGGGTTTTGGGGGGGCCCCACGCCTCCTATCTTTC